TCCTTTAACTGTCTTTCCCCCTATTTCCTTACACTTTTTTTTTTCTAGTCATTCCTTGCAGCATTCCAGCCTCCCCCCAGGATTTCTGCCTTTGTTACCAGCCTAGCACACGCTTTACAGCATTACTGACAGCTGAGCACACAGTTGTTGACATCCCACGCAGTGCATCTTCGTCACTAATGGTGCAAAACTGCACTTGTCATTATAAGTGGTATTTGCATTATGGATATCAAAATTTAAAGGACAAAGAGGAAGATGGTGGCGATAAAGTAAATAAAACGTTTAGATCCAACATAGTACAGAAGATACCTAGATTACAGACTCTCAGGTGTCACTGAACTTCCTCCCCAGTCTTAGACAGTCCAGGGCACCATCATGTTTTTCAAGGTTTCAGAAACTAAAATTGCAGACTAGCTTATGAAAGAGTAAAGCTCTATACAAGCATATGTTTTTATCCCAGATGCACGCTGCCTAGATAGTAATGTCTAACTGCCAAGCATAACAACCTGACAGGTATATATAAATAACATATATAAATATAATAATATATGTGTAAAAATAATATTTAGGTGAATTGTAACAAGAGCAAGGCAACCAAGCTAGCCTCTTTTCAGTTTGGGAGGTAACAGCCATGCCACGACACATAACGCTGTAAAAAGCAGTCTCTTTCAGAGTGGACTCAATTTCTTTAAATTCACAGCATCAAAAAAAAAAAAGACTATTTTTCCAATGCTGCCCCAAATACAGCCAAGTCTGAGTAAAATACTCTTGCTGTATGTTCTTCAAACCCCAACCTTAATGCCTGTGAAAGTTATGAAGTGAAAAATTTGGCCCGTGCATACTTTACAGCATGATACTACATCATTTTAAGGAGAAAGAGTGTATTTATTTAAGAAAAAAAAAAAACTTCTTTCCCTGCAGTAGCCTAACAAATACTGTTTTATGCCTCGAAGAGTGTGATAATATTTATAGTAAACATATTTATTATAAACATATTCCTTTATGATAGGGATTGCTTTGCCTGTTCTAATTTCCCAGAGACTACAATCACAGTCTTGACAAACACTTCTGATGGCAGACAAGGACATGTACAAAATTGAAAGAAAAACCACAAATGATCAATCATTTTTCTTGCTCCTTTCATTAGTAAAATTCAACTTAGAGGAGACAGAACACTATAGATTAGCCACAAAATACTCTTACAGTATTCAAGACACTATAATTTGTTTTGGGCTCTTTAGCCCATCCTAAGCCAGGGGGTTAGAAGAGGAGGATGGACCAGAGAACATGCAGATAATGCAACTCTACAGATATTCAAAAGTGAAAATACCATTTATAACTAAGCATAGATGTAATTCAGGGAAAGATTTAAAATTTAAAAGAGATGCATAGATGAAGAGTTTTGAGCTATTGAAACCACCAGGCCAAGAAAAAGTTAAGATCATTCTTCATATGACTTTTGTGCTTCATTTTTCTGTTTCCAGTCAAAAAGTTGCCCTTTTTTTTTTTTCCAAACAGTATTGGTCCTGATTATCCATACTCCATACAGAAAATTAGTCACTTGTGGACAGCAAGAAAGGTATTTTTCTGCACATTTATCTGATAAAATGCAATTACATACTATATTATAATTTCTTCCCTTGTTTTACCAGCCAGTTTTGAAAGACAGGCTCTGTATGACACATGGAATACCCACAGTTTAATTCATTATGAAAAAATCTGTGTTCCTAAGCATATAACTCATTTAAGGATCTGTATTTATTTCTTATTGTGACATATTATTGGCCTAAACTCAATCTATCATATAATTCAAATCCCATTTAAAGCAGCCAAAATCAGGTTTGAGTGGCAGAAAAAGCGATGATTACTCAGCATTTGTAAAACACATGTAATAATGTCTAGAAAAGACTTAACGAGGACCAACCTGAGGATCCGAGAATACTTGCTGCATGTTGTTGATCGGGCCATATGGAACCCCACTACCTTCAAAGAGCTGCAACCATTCCATTGTTGTTTTTTCTGAAAACCTAAAAGAAAATAAGAAGCATGTAGTTTCAGCACCCTGCTTTCAGATGCTAAAAAATGTATAGTATGTCTCCTCCCTCTCTCGCTGCTTCCATACTCTTCTCCACTGATTTCTTCCCAGTCAGCAAGTAACACAACAAAAAAGTACTATGTATGTCCATAAGAAATGCAAAATCCAAAGACATAGGGGAAAGAACATTGCTGAACTGACTTCTGTTTCTATGATCTGACTTCTATTTCTGCCTAATCATCTGAAGCAACCCAGGAATGATGTAAAGTAAAATTTATCAGCAGCTTCAAATAAGGATCAATGGCTTTACTCCAGTCCTTAATTACAGTAATGTGCTTCACATTTGTTTTCTGTTATGAACATATTTAACAACAAAACGATATAGTGCAAGTACGAGTCTAACATACAGTACTGCTCATTAAAAGCTGCTGTAAAGCACCACCAAAAACATACGTCAGGTTTAACAACCACATTTTTTGGTCAGATAACAACGCTGATTGCATATTTACTTGTTGTGTCATTGTATAACCTATCCTAGGGACATCCAATTCAGCAGATATACACTGTGCCTGTGCTGGTCAACAGTGATTTCTTTCTAACCATTCCCTTCCATAACTGGTAGCACCACTCTATTTCCCCTACTTTGCCAGATACTTTTTCTTTCCTCATTGGCCTAGTGTAGTTACATTCATGAAGAAAATACACTCTTGAAGCAATAGCAGTTACTGAGAGACATTATTTTGTCTGCAGTCATCTAGGATCCTGAATCAAAGGTGAACTTTTTTGGCATAGTATCTTAAATGTCATGAAGGTAAGTAACACAGAGGTCTACTAGTTTACTAGCAATTGAAGATCTACTTCATGATATACACAGCACTGAAAAGAAATTAGGTGTAATTTAAAGACCTGCTGGTGATGGATGAAATTAATAGAAATGCCTTTATAAGGGATACTCAATTACTCATATTCTGTAGCTCACCAATTTGGAGTTCCCTAACTGTAATTTGGGAATAATATCAGTAAGATTCAGCTTTTCTTTGCATACTACTATTACCAGAAAAACCAAACCAAACCAAA